CAGAACCTATTTAACAGGACCACTGATTGCGATCTCTGCCAATATGATGAAGAATTAAGGGGTGTGACTAGCCTATGGATGAGATACACTAATTAAATTAGATTAATTCCTCTCAATAGTGGTACTGTAGTGATTAATGAAAAAAAGCTACTTTAATTGTGATTCCAAAGGATTCCGGTAGTTGGTTCGTTTCGCCCCTCACTTAGACGAACCACTGGATTGATACTAGATGAAAAGGAGGTTACTTTCCAAAGCAGCGTAATGACCACCGACTGAATAGTAACCTGATAGCTTAAGCTCTCTGCTGCACACTGATTATTAAAGGGCTCAACTTGAAGGAGGAACTCAAAAATCGTCTGATATACAGTTTTGGAGACTAACCAGAAAAGGCAGTTCACGCAAAGGTTAATGTAGATCTGCTAAGGTAGGTGCAGTCATTACAGTTCGGCTGACTGGTCGGGTTTTATGCGAGAACGCTATCGTACGAGCTCCGCTGCTGAAGGAAATCCCTATCAAAGCATATTGTCAAGTTTCATCCATATAATTTCCCTCCCAGAATTCACTGTCCACCCTCACACACTCCTAAAAGCTAGTTGCCGCACTATAATCGCTTTTAAAGATTCTTTTCGCATTATTACAAAGAAACGAAAATGGCCAATGATAGTAATGATCGTACCCTGCTTTTCAAGTGCTGCATCATGCGCTATATCACTACCATGTTGTCGACCGACATCTAAGCAATTAATTGTTGATTTTGAACGATGTCAACTGTCCACGCAGGCATTTTTTCTTCGTAGAATGCTGTTTTCATATGAATACACAATCGCCGCCTGTGATCGGCGTCGATTCCACTTAAGATAGCGTGGTTGACTCACGGAGCACCAAGCTATAACTCTTTTTATTGAACACGTAGTTACGTCACCCCATATGGGTGAATGTACTAGCAGGTACCACGAGAACCTTCGCGCAACACCATTCAACCATTCAATTACCTCACTCTCCTTGGAAGGTTACATTGGTCAAGTCTTAGAAAGTGGTTTCTACGGGTTTGAAACAGACCAACAGGCCCTGACAAAGAAGTCAATCTATCCGCAGTAATACCTTTCTGCTAGGTGTAACAAAGGCGAACGTCGAATTTCAAAAGTACCTTGCGTGTGAATTCGAGCACCTTGCTAGAGTGTCCTACGGCACCATCGACTGGCGACAGAGTAGAGCCGCATGATCCGGCGGTATCGTTCCGGGCGTCAAGCGGTGATGCCGCAAAGCTGCGATGAGGATTGCCTTCGGTGACACTCACGAGCGCGTATCAGTGTCAGCTGAAGATAAATGAGGTGTACTGTGATACCTTGGGAGTTCAATCTCGTTAGCGGCAAGACTTTTCAATCCGTAAAAGAACGTTTCTCTCATGGTCCCTTGCCGAGGAACAAGAGAGAGGCAGATAGAGAAAGACATAGGTCCACGTACAACACAAAATACCGGAGTTGTAGAAGCACCCGAGGAGCTCCTCCTACACTCAAAGTTTTTCTATTTCCATCTGACGCTTAGTAGTTGGTATGAAAGCTTGTGATGTTTTGGAACCAACTGTTAAGTGTCAAAAAGAACGAATCAATTCTGCGATTTGCGCAATCTGGAGTTCGTGCCTGCATAATCTTTTCGCCGTACATACCAGTGCCGTTACCTGTAAGGGTATTGAATGGAAACGAAAAAAACAAAAAAAACGTCGGTCTCAGCACAGGCCGATTCTTTTGAAATCAATCCGGCCCTTTTGATCATATCAGCGTTTTATAGCAAGTCCGGCTCTCTATAGTGACCGAAGCGTTGAAGCCTGTAGTTTCATTCTTTCTCCTGATCATGAACCATGTAGATGAGCAGGTTGAGCGTAGACCAGGCTGTAGAGGCTCGAATAGATGCGGCATGGATGAGGTGGGATGATTTCATTAGTATACTGAAGGAACGACGGTGCTCCAAGAAGCTCAAAGGAAAGGTGTACCGAACAGTGGTGAGGCCCTCATTGCTTTACGGCAGCGACTGCTGGCCCTTCAGTGACATTCATAGAAGCAATTTTTATTCCGCCGAAACGAGGATGCTTAGATGGGCACGTGATAGGACGCCATCAGATCAGGTCAGAAACGGGCGTTGGAGCTGTCATGTGAACAGTCTCTTCCAGTTGAAGACGAGGAAGTATCCTCTGCTATGGGACCCACACATACTGACAAGACCACAGGATCATTTGGTGAAGGAGGCAATGTGATTCAAAGCCCGAGTGGGAGCAACCAAGGGGTGCCCCAAAGAGGAGGTGATGGGAAGTAAATAAGAAGGTCTTGCAAAACTAAATTGGTGTAGATATAAGGAAGTGGAGACGGCTGACAGGAACAGTGATCACTGCGACGGTGCAGAAAACGTAAGGGAGAAGAAGATGATGCTGAACAGGTTGAGCAGTTGGGTAAAATTGAACCACCGACAGAGCCCTACGTCCTACGCTACTTGTCGCACCTGCTCGAATAATTCTTGGTTCTGGTCCCTTAGGTATTGGCCGGCTCTACTCATGGGACATCCAAACTCCATACATTTTTTCCATTCACTCAATAAATTCTTACATCTGTTTTGTTTGTCGGACTGTTTACGCTCCCCAGTTCCCTACAGGAAAATATCACGAGAAGGTTCAGGATGCACTTATCACGACTTTGCTTTGATTCCTTGAGGAAGTAAATTGTATCTGTCTTCAAAAGTCATTTTACTGATGCGAAAGGAAGAGCAGTGCGAACTAAGCGGGTATTTTGCTCCACGCGAGAGCCTACGGTGGCTATTCACCTAGATTTCCTTTTATCAAGAGAATAAGTTGAATGCGTGAGCGCCTTTCTGAAGAGTTCATTTTGATGAAATCAAATTTTCCATGACCTTAAAAAATTCTTCAACTGCCACTCGATCGGCTCTCCTACCAGTCCTCTTCGGAAGAAATGAGTTCTCCTCAATTGAGATTTCTCGTATTGACTTTCTCCATCTCGAAACTCTCTCCTCTACCGAGTAGCATGCCTGGGGCAGCTTTCTACTTAAACCACGTTCGTCTATCACTGTGAATGTAGAGCATTCAGACCACCTTGAAGGTGTTTTTGGGCTCACCGCTGGAGGTATAGGGCGGGTGAAGGGCGAAAAGAGCGCGCAGTAGGTGACGGACGGATGGGGCGGTGCCACCACCTCTGCCGCCTATTCCAGCTACTTCGCCCTCTTCGTGGGTCTCAGTCCGATTTCGGTCAAGCGCAGAGGTTGTCTCCCACTCAAATTCTTGACTCAGTCTTTTCATTCTTGATCTGCCTCCATCTTCGATCTCTCTACGTTATTGATTTGGGTCCCACTTTCAGGTTAGATTCTGCATGTACATTCGTCGTGTATGCTAACTACCATGCATTCTTCGACTTTTCTACTGATTCTGTCACTAGTTGGCCTTCTGCATTGGGTAAGTAGGGCTCATTTTCAAAATATTCGAGAATTTGGAAATCTTTTAAGAAATAAATTAGGTCACCCAGGAAACAGTAAGCAATTTTTGTTTTGATCGATATTTTTTCATTGTGGCAGTTGATTTTTACATGAGCTCCTTGGAGGCCGCCCATGTATTTAATGGACAACACCTCTTTTCCAGGCGTTCAGCTCAGGCTCCTTGGAAGTTCGGCTCATCGCGTCACGATCATGTTATGTAAAGCTTTGTGTGAAGAAGCCTCATGCTCAACCGCTTGACAGTTGCCTGCTCGAATCACAGCTCATCCAACTTCAATCGCAAAAGCAACGAATTGTCAGCACGCCGTTTTATTTCCCATTCCCGGTGAGAAATCCCGAAAAAAGGTGGAGCTGGCTACCATGCCCATTGTTCTATCTGAAAAAAAAACATTCTGTCTGGGAAAGTATAAAGTTTCGCTTTCAGGAGACGTTCATTCTCTCCGCCGAGGTTTTCGACACTCAACGGAGTGAGTTTTGCTTTTGTTTTTGTTAGTGCTCTCTCTCGAACTTTCGGAATTACTTTCGACGAGTACCTATCGGTCAAGTATTTTTGTAGTTGCATAAGTAGTATTGTGTATTGCACCAATACGCCTTTTTGGTGCAAGAAGCAATTCATGCAGTTTGATATTCCACAATATCTTCTGGCAAGTCCTCTTGTCACGAACTTTTCTGCCCTACTCTGGCATACCTAGTTAGACAGCTTGTTCTGGGGAGGGGTGGAGAGATGGGGAAATGTGGGGGTAGTGCGGAGGGAAGGATGCTGGTTCTATACAACTTGATTAATGCATTGTATGAATTCGAAGGGGATTTTTCTTGTGGTAAAAGACTGCTTCCATTTGATACGAGTTAGGGCTGAACTGTATACCAAGGTCTGTCGAACACCGAGAATCAATCACTGGTAACAGTTTTGTTTTTTAGACACCCTGGAAAGTCTGGTGGCTTTCAAGAAGTTGTTTTATGCATGTGCCGATCTTCACTTTCCTCTCATTACCATTATCCTGGTGGGAACCATGGAATCCTCCTCTCCTTGAAAAGGAGTTCCACTTCGAACAACTTTGTGATCAACTAAATATTTCTCATCCACAGATTCATAGCCATTTGCCGTCATGGTACTTGCCGTACCTCGTTTGAGCTAGGACCGTAAATAGTCATCTCCTCAGTGAGATTTTTGTTGGCTACTTGCCATCGGCATTATTAAAGGCTCATCCGTTTGCTAAGGTGTCAACATAGATTGTTAGATAACGTCTCCATCTGTACTTTATGACGACAATATCGTTTTGGTGAAGGTAAACCACCTGCTGCTGCATGGTTTTACGACATTTCCGTGGTAGGCTAAAGCGCTCTGTAATTGTCCAGGAGCTCATTCGGAATCCGAGGATCTCAATTTGTCAATTTGAACAGCTTTCTTAGATACAGAAGCCAATCCTACCCTTTGGTAATTGGAGACAGTATTATCCCAAGCAGAAGGAAACTTGAAAGCCGCCCGTAGGAACGGAACGAAGGCCTCAATGCATACGGTAGGAACAGTTGATCCGGCTGGGTTATCAATCAATGACGTCTCCAGTTCTTATCAGAAGAATTTGTTCCAAACATGGATTATCACTGTGAGTAAATATTGGCGTGCGCCAAATACGGGCCATGGTCATTACGAGGAAAAACGCGTGGCTACTGCGTGTGCCAACTGGGAGTGGGAGGGTCTATGTTCCTGTAACTTCGAGGTACTTCTGGAATATTTTGAAATGACAGTGGCAGGCGACCAGTTCAGTAGTCTTCCATGTGCCAATTCTTTACCGGCTATCTGTCGCCATTTATTTCAATCTTTAAATTTTTGAAAAAAATCTGTTTACCAATTCAAAGCTCTAAAAATGCAGCAGTATGAGTGAATTCACTGGAAATTACTGATTTTTCAGTAGCACTACATAACTACACCTCCAAGGAGCGTTTTGCCGTCGGCTCCGAATTCACACCAGCACAAGGATCGTCGGAGTTTCTCGACATTGCCTTTCGGTCAACATGTCATCCGTCAGTGAACTTTTTTCTCTATCTATTCCTAAACCTGACCTAAAATAAAGTTTTTCAGATCGTACTACGGTATTGGATGCCAACGTTACTGCAAAGCTTCGGTCAGTTACACATGCGACAGTGAAGGAAAGCGAATCTGTCGAGAGGGGTGGTCGAGCGAACAGTGTGATCAACGTAAGTCACTAGTGCTTTCACGAGTCGACACAAATCAACCTCAGAACCGTGGAAAGCTATTAGAGCCTATTTTGAATGGCAGCGAATCCGAGATTTTGATTTTGAGCTTTGCTCCCTGGTTGGGTGGCGTCTTCGAAGCCTTTTGAACGCTTTCGAAAGCTCGGAAGAGACGGTGTGAAACAAGGACCTAGTGGGTTCCTTCAAACGCCTCAGCATTTTGCAAGGATTTTCCTCTGCCACTTGAGATTCGCTTCATAGGGATGACCACAAGGATTATGCTGTCCTGGTGGTGCACATGTGCAGGCAGTGACCTTAAGACACGTGTCCATCGTAAATTAGCATACGTTTCATCGTACTTCCGCAGACTTTTACGGTTTATGAGGCAGTGGTAAATATGACGGGAACAGTTGCTAGCCAAGGGCTGGATGTAGTATAGCACACGCCCTCTTTCCCACTGCGTGCATGATTATTCGGGTTCACCGGTGTGTAAAACTAATTGGCCCTATTCGGTCACCAAAGATGAGTTAGTCATCTGAATCATTAGGAACTCGGGTAGGATAGAGATTCCTTTTGGAGCATGAGGACAGGGGGTTATTCGAGAGGAACAGGTTGTCCAACGTATGTCCGCGTAATCACCGGTCTCTTTCCGCCTCTCATTTATCGCATGCACCAGCCGGGGCCCCATTTTCAGCAGCTGCTTCAGTTTGTCGCGCGAAGCGCCGCCGGTTTCACAGGTGTCGCCGCCGCTTCTACCACCGGACCTTTCAGTGTCAATGGAATCGCGCTGCTCTCAATTCGACGAAAAACAAGACCTTTCTTCAGCTGACGAAAAGGGTTTTACCGACAAAAGGGAATGTGCTCAACCCAGAACATGGGCTAGTTGTAGGATTCCTCTGAACGCAGTTCTCACTACTTCTGGAAGCCGTGGCAGAAACCTTCAACCAACTTAACTTCGAAGACTTTAACAACTTTGCAAAGAACCTTTCGAAAGGTTTCAATATAGATATTGTTAGGAAGGATATTGCAGGGAGCTCACATTTCAAAGCCAGTGGTAAGGATTGGAATTCCGAAATTTGGAGTGAATCATTCAAATTGAGTGAGCTACGCTTGGCGCCAGCTAACAATTCTTGATAATCAGTGTAACTATATAACAGGTTTCTGAGCTGTGGCTGGTATTCCACTCAGTGATTGCCTTTTCCCAAAGTGATCTGTTACCAATTAGCCCACGTCGGTGGATCAGAGGCCACATGGCTAAGAAGAGGGGGTATTAGATCAGTGACCGTGTGAAAGTACAAGATTCCCCTAAAATCCTCTCTCTCTGGCTCATGAATTGAAAATTGGCTACGAAATTAATATTGAAATTGGGTTCGCTACTTCGAAAGTTTTTTTTTCATTTTCAATGACTTCCTATGGTTTTTTTCATAAATGTGCAGGCCTTTATAACCTGGGTACCTAATTCTGCTATCTAGCACTGATGCTCATTTCAAAAAGTCCTTCTTTTTAGTATGAGAGCACATGTCACGTACATTACGGTGGTTTTCTTTCAAACATCAAGTGAATCTCAGAACTCATATTGCTGTCAGTGGAATAGCCAGTTCTAGTGTTACATACGTGTTAAAGTGAACTTTTGTGAACTAATAGTAGGTTCTCATTAGTAAAGCAAGGTAACAAATCGACCTCATTCTGAATTAACTCATTTATTTTGCGCTTTTTGGGCAAACTTCGGTTTGGCTAGTACGAAAGATTGGCTAAAGGCGAATAATGTGTGACTATGTAACACATTCCACCTTTGGTTTTTCTAGGGTGTCAATAGGTCTTCCACACTCACAAACTTCACCAATTATATATTCGGGATCTACTTTAGCATGCACTTTCAAAGCCGTTTCTTTTTCAGCCATATGCCAAGACGGCTGTCAGTACGGACGCTGTGTGGAGCCGGGCAGATGTGAATGTGATCACGGGTTCTTTGGACCAAATTGCAAGGAGGTCAGTTGAACCATCGTGCCAAATTACCTAATTCCAAACCAAAACATCTTCTGTAATGCATCAATTCAGTGTCGTCGTAGTGAGGCCTGCCGCCATGGCAAATGTCGTGACAATCAGCCGTTCACCTGCGCTTGTGAGCCCGGTTGGGGTGGTATCTTCTGCGAGAGAGGTACGGCTTCACTGATTCTGGTTTCTCCAAACACACAAATGCTTTCGTAAAAATGGTTTAGAAGAGCTAAAAGTGTTATGAATGGAAAGTAAAGTCATTTTTCGCCCAGAGTTTAAAACCTTTTTTGTTTCTGGAAGTTCATGCCCAATAAGTAGGAAATTGTCCAATATGTACTGGTTTAGATCTTGAGTATTGTACTCGACATGATCCGTGTAAAAATGGAGGAGTCTGCACGAATGGAGGTGTCCAAAGTGATTTCACCTGCCGTTGTCCTGAAGGTTACGTCGGTACAACGTGTGAGATCGCTGTGCCTAGCATCTGTCAGCATCATGGGATTTGCCGCAATGGTTAGTTTGTATGATTCCCTAACTTCAGTAACTTCCAAATCGTCGTACATGATCCTGACCGTTGATGTACAGCCAGCCATACTCAGTATGATATATCAGTTGGAGGATAAATCTTGGTAATCGGTTGGCAAGAAACTGGGTGCTGAGTTAATTCGAATGACCTTATTCGAGCAGCTATTGAAACCCATCAATAACCAAAAAAATACTGGAGGCATCCTAATCTTAAACTACTTTCTTTTACTTTTCAACCTTCACGAAGGGACTAGCCTTTCAATTCCATCACTTGCTTCTCTATGTCATTGTATTGGTTGGTCATTGGGTCAGGGGACAGGGAAGGACAATTCACGTGGACGATTACTTTGGAAAAACAGGAAGGGCTTCTGCTGGGGTCGCTGAATCAAACTGACCACTTCAGTTGAAAAAACTCTTCAACTGGCTTGTTGTCACTAACTTAGATTGACCTTTCTGCAACTTGACCTTATCTTTCTTCATCTGTGATTCCTATGGACAGCGTTTGAAGGGGACAATTTGGTTGAGCTGGACCCTAGCAATTCTTCGGTCGCACAACTACCATAGCCATATAAAGTGTCGGAAGAAGTTCCAGAAAGAACCCTGTCATCCAAGAAAAAAACGAGTTTCTGGGCGCGGCTACCGTACCTCTTGTGAGCGCTAACCATCTGGCCATAGTGTGAGACGAGACGCGTAGTGCAGTGTTGCTACCACGTGTCACAGTCCACGTATTGTAATGCTAATCACTGTCTACATTGAATGTGAACTAGAATCGGGTTACAGTACACGGAAATTAGAAAACTGATGGTTTGCTGGTGAAGAGGAGGGCGTGCACTTGTTGGTGGGTATACTCCACTGGCAGCCGAGGTCATTATCCTTGAATAGAATGGGCTTCGGCTAGCGCGGACATTTGATGATAGTTTTGAGTTTCATCTCTCTGTCTCTCAATTTCGCCCTTTTCAGGTGGACTCTGTACAACTGCCGACACGAAGCTGGGTAGATGTGAATGTACCGAAGGTTTCGAGGGAAGATATTGCGAAAAAAGGAAAGCTCTCATCAATGAAGCATGTTCCTCCACCAGTTGCAAGTGAGTCAGCTTTCCTATCGATCGAATATTGATTTTTTTCGGAAGTTTGAGAACAATATCGATCACCACGATCCCATTCAAAGCTATTGTTAACTTGTGCATACCAATAATACTTCTTATAACCCACAAGACTGGCGAGTTATGGATAAAACCTCGGCCTCGGAAGAGACTAGAACCCGTACTTGTGCTATCTGGGCACAGTGCTCTATCCCTTACACTACGGGACCCCATTTGCCCTCGTTCTATAACGTTCTGGTGCCGTTTGTGCCTGTTCCAGTAGAGTTCCCCAGGTAGATACATACTAGGCACCTTCAGTAGCCCACCATAAACTCTTCTCACAACAACCTTTTAAATTTACACCAAATCACGGAACCCACCTGTGGTACCGAACGGGGCCCGGTTTCCCCGGTTTTTGTGTGGCTTAGTCGGACTTGTGGAAGTCATATGCAGTGCGCATTCCAGGAACGGTGTTGATTGACTTATCCTTTGCCCATTTGACAATATGCCTGATGCCAATTGGGTGACATTTTATCCGATAATGTGTTTAAAGCTAAGCATGACAGTCGAAATATCGCAATAATACCACGCCCATCATCCTGGGCAACCGCAAATGTCTTCCTATCCGTTGCCGAGCCATCATTTACCTCTACCGTTCAGAAATGGTGGATCATGTCTGAATGGCTCCAACTGTGTTTGTCCGCAATGCTTTTCTGGTAGTGACTGCTCGGTGATTGACGAAAATTGTCTCTGGCAACGGGCCAACACCACACAGGATTTCTTGGCAAACAACCACGACGGGGAGAAGACCACCCACATTACGATTCTCATGCTACTGGGTATGATTTTCTACTCAATCCATACTTATCGATACTGTACCTTTTTGGAAATCAATAATTGATTCATTTTTAGCAATGGCTTCGATCCTACTGCTAGCTACATGTGTCGTGGTATTTTTCCTGAAGTACAAACGAATGCGACGGTTGATTAAAGATCCGATCACACAGAACGCCATCAACGAACATCGGCAAATTCATGAACTTCCGAAACGATTGAAGGATTGTCAGTCACCGTCAGATGAAGCGTACAAGGTATGCCAGCTCTTTGAACATGCACCATATACCATATATCATTGTCCCCTTAACTGAAACTATTGCTCAACGGGTGGTCGACCATCTTTGATCTGGCCGACTCGGGGAAATTCCTTGGCCTCACACGCATTCTTAACCGGTGTCCTAACACGATTCGAAGAAAATCCAATGTAACTCACCAAGTTCGCCGTTCGCTACGAGGGAGTCCTTCTGGGTTAGGAAATACTTCATTTGACATTTTATCCTTTTGAAAGGCCTGTAAACATGAAATCCGTTTCCTGCGGTCCCGTTGGGTTTCAGCTGGCTTCTATTCAAGCATTGATCACATCTGTCTCAAACGTCGACGGGCCCGGTACCAAAGTTGGGGCGATTGTCTAATACCCTTGAAAGGGACTGTACTCATGGCTTTGGAGGAGTAAATCACAAAGTATAGAGTGGATATTATGCAAGAATCAGTCCCAGATGGAACTCCTCTCCAAGGTCGACCAGGGAGAGCACCCCAGTCTTGACGCAGACCCCTCAGAAGGAGCAATCTCCTGCGCTTCTCGATGCCGCGCCTCCTCTGTAGGTAACAGGTGGTTCTCATTCGTGCAAAAGAGTAACCAATGAGCTCATTTGCTCCCAGAATATCTCACACTTTTGCTTGCTTCCGGTCTAGCTATCCTTTTCAGGTGTTCGTGATCCCATCGAAGAAGTGTAAAGATCTGGATGATATCGACTATGAAAAAGGATACATATCACCACCACGTGGACGTTACCGTACCCTTCCGTGTATTGACGTCGTCGCCGTATCGTCAGTGGCTGTCGCATGTACGAAAACTGTGACCGAACCCGATGATCCATATACGGAAATCGAATTTCGACCGACTACTGTAGCATTGGAGGATAAGAAATTAGCGGATAATGCTTGTGTGGTATAGACACCTTTCGAACTTTGTCGAGAGCGGTCGGTTCGATCTCGCGCCATTAGCTGCGCCCGGTCAGTTCACACAGATAGGTAGGGGAGAATTAATGGACCACACAGGAGGCAAACGGTCGACTCACGTTTTATCTATGCTTAGAGCTCAGCGAATGATGTCATATCTGTTGTTGTAAAAGTGTCACCTTCTGTTTATTCTTTGTATGTAACCTCTTCCGTTTTGCGAGAGCGCTCCTCAGCTCTTTCTCTGCTTAGGTCAACCTGAACTGCACACACAATATAGAGCTATTATCAAGTGAGTCGTCGCGAATGAATACCTCTCGGGAACGGCCTGTCCATTCCACCTTTGGGAGTGTCCCTGAGAGCTTCCTTCTTCTCTTTTCTTCCCATACTTTTGTGAAAAAAGAGATTGCCTTGAGAGTGCAAAGAAATGAGATGGGGTGAGGTTGCTTCCTGAATGAGCTCGGGAAAGCCTTTCTCTTGAAACTAATTTCACCTTCAACGGAGTGACCTACACTCAAACGTTTTTTTTCTGCAAAATACCAACCATGCTTAACAGGATTTTTGCCAAAAAAAAATCATGACAAGCAACTTCACAACCTTCCCCAGCCCCAGTAAATTTCTTCGAAACGTCTTCTTCAAAGCGGAGGTTGCGCCGGGAAAGGGATTCCCGCCTTTAGGGGGTGCTGAATTTCCCCTTAGAAATCAATTCGTAATTGCCTTTGTTAAGCAAACTTCTAGTCTTTTTAACACTTGAATACAAACTGTATTTGCGACCCACTTCTACTTACGCTTCACTTTGGCTTTCCTTGGGAGATGGCGGAACCAGCTGACAAAACTTTCGATGTGCTAAGGTTTTACCCCATACTCCTCCTCCGAATGTCTTACCCATATTGATAAAGGGAGGAGTTCACAATGAAAAAGTATATGTGGTTTCTGGAAGTCTTTTAGTAATGAGCTTCATTTCTCACTCTCTTCTCGACCCACAAGATCCTTACATCCCCTCCCAGCTGGTCATATATGCATGGCTGTGTCTGTTAGTGAACCGGTGATCACAAGCATGACTTTGTTGACTGACTGCTAACGACTTTACTCATAATATCTTCTTAGCAGATAGTATTGGTATATGAACGACGACGAGTACACAGTATCTAGCCTTATCGATTCAAGAGCTCAATTCATTTTATTGTTAACCATATTGGTAGCCTTGAATGAGCCCTGCCTAATCATATGACAATTACGCGTACTCCATCGACGTAAGCGACCCCAAACTCCAAATTTTTTGGACCAGAAAAGAGCATCAAATCGATGTCCGCACACTTGCAGCCTCTCAAAATCCTTTACGTCGACGTCGTCGCTGTAATTATCGCGGTTGTAAGCTATTCATGACAGCAGTTTTGTTATTTTTGTTTTGCCTGTATATAATAGCAATTTATCACATTCATTGATTGCATTTTTTGCTGAATTATATGTGTATACGGAACATTTATATAAAAGAAACTAATTACTGGTGTTACTATACAGTACGATTTTTCTTGTAGCTCTGATGACTTCCAAGGAAACACGACGCCCGGGGTAGGCTGAAAGAAGCATTACCTCAAGAATTTTTGACAGTTGGCTCCCCATAAGTAGACATTTCCCGAACAAGTTGAGGACTTCTGTGTAGGTTGCCTCTACAAAAAACAATCGATGTAACTAACATGATCGCTCAGCTACATATTTTCAAAAATTCTATAGAACAGAATACTAGAGAGTCCCTGATGGTCTTAGGGGACGGTCAGATCAAGCATGAGAAGTACTCAGGTGAAATGAAAAATGTATTCTGAAACGATAATATCGACCACCCCTACCAGTCCTGTTCATTCTTAAAATCGCCTAACAGAAAAGAAACCATCCAGGGAGAACATGAACCAGTCATACCAATTCGTGATCAATCAAAATCATGACAGCTCATCAATAATCGTGTTACCAGTGCCCTTCGCGGTGAGCTGAGGTTTCGGGTTCGATTCGTGGAATTGGTGCTAAATCAAGGTCATCTATCCAGTCATTGTCGAGTCCTGTCTTTTGCGTCTATGACAGACAGGGAACCACTGAATGCGTTAATCGGCTAAGATCGTTCGCGAGAAGATCAGGGACAGCATTGCCAGCCAGGTGTTTTCTTGCGTGAAAAAATGCATGTGCAAGAAAAATGTGAAGCCCAAGTTGTTCAAAAAAGTGGCAAGTAGTTGGCAGAACCTATAGGTGTAACTACAAAAAAAAACATTAACAAATGTAATGGGAAACATGATGTTACGCGAAGATCGGATCAACAAAGACATCATCGGTGTCTTGAACCGTTTCCATGAATCATAACAGCAGAAGGATTCATTTTACAAAACAGCCTCGTGGAGTTATTTCTCGTTGCAGCATCCGGAGGGAACTCTTTCACTAGTAAGAGCTAACTGCCGTTATCAAGCGGGTAGTCATGTAAGTTGATATGAAAATAACTCAGCCCGAACCATCATTCCTCCAGCAGATGAAGATTAAGCAGGAAAGAAATACACTTCTGCCTCTTTCAAAGTGACTGAAAGTTATAGTTATTGAAACGAGCTCCAGAAAGCCTTCGATACATAGGTGATTCTCAGTTCTTGTGTCAAGAAGTTCAAGAGAAGTTCAAGAGCATTCCCATCCAAACTTGGGAACAGTTCACAGTGAGTGAATGATGGTTAGGTAAAGTGGAAAATCATTGTGCAAAGGTAAGAGAATTGAAAATTTTGCCCTAACCGTCAGGAAACGTAAAGTGCTCCAGCAGTTAAGAATTTTTTGCTAACAATATATTACCGTGATTTAGCTTTTCCTGTACACCTGTAAGATGGGGCTCACGGTTACCCATCTCTCATTCGATGCTATGCTTTACAGAGAGGGCAGAAGGACTGAATCGACCGAAGCATATTTAAGGTGGTTCTTCGGATGAACATGCAACTGGAGTAGTGAGCGGGTTTCTAGCAGATCCTCGCTGCTGCTTCCCAAACTTGCTTGATGAAAGGTGATGAACTCTGAAGCCAAGTTCCATTTGTCGTATGCCTATAGTGTATCTTCTAAGGAGAAATAGACAGAGAACTACGAATACCGAATTTGGCGAGATGAATCTAGTTGAGCTGCTTAATAGAAGGAATCCTTTTTTTGTGCAGCGTCTTTTCGAGCAGTGCTTGCATTAATGTCAAATGTAGGAATTTCTGTCTGCTTTCTGAATTTTGCAACGTTCTTCTATCTATTAAAAAGTTTCAACAATGAAGACGATAGACGAATTTCGTATCACTGGTGCTTGAAACTTCCGGAACGCATATTCACCCTATTATGGCATATTCACCGTGACTTTTCTGAAAAACTTGAAAGGAATCCGCGCTAACTGGTTTACAGCCAAGACACGTTGTTTGTTGTTTGGCAATGAAGTACATATGAGATGAAAGCAATGATTAACATATCCAAAGACACCTGCACATAGGTGTCGGCATCGTCAAAGGGGAGCTGAACAGTAAAGTTTAATGCATGCAAATTATCTACTAAGAGATTCGATGGCGTATATATGTAAACGTACGCTCCGAGTCTGTATCCCATGGATCTTTTCAGGATGAGCCACGCACTTGGTCCACTGTTTTACGTTTGACTTCTCCTATTCAACTATGGGTAGCAACTACATACTCTAAAAGCAAATCAAGGAAATCTCGAGAAACCTTGTACCACATTCCCTACGAGTTCATTTTATCCCTATTTTAATCAAGATACCATTCATCAGATTCTTGACTTTTAAACAAGGTTACCCTCAATGGAGTCCAATCAGCAGAACATAGTTTGATAGGGACCAGCTGTGCGTTGTGAAACAGTAGTATGAGCGGGTAGAATCCTACAGCAAAGGAATTGTTAAGGCTTGGCCCGACTTATGTTTCCGGGATCACCCGCTTGACATCCATTCCGGAAGGGTGAGCAAAGGCAGCCGATGAGCGCAGTCCTCAGTCCTTCCAAATGACGGTTCCAAACCATAGCCGCTGTCCGGCGCGTAGCCTTGATGTGTCCGAGAAATTGAGGCCTGTGTTCCGCCGGGAGGTGAAGATGAACGAGCGAAATCGGAAGTGAAACAAAGGCCTCACCACCAAATAAAAACCATCAGCCAGTAGCAATTTTGAAATAGAAGAACCGGTTTTGCTTGCCCTGAGTACATCAAATACAATACCTTCCAGACCAAGTATTGCAGACTGTACAAGGAACTCCAGGGTTTCACCTAGTTTCATAGGAGTTTTATAGATTTGTCGAAAAAGTAGCAACCAGACTTTTATAATATCCAGTGCCATGATATTTCGCCATTTTTCGCTGATCCGTTATACGTTTATGTATCCATACAAATTATGCAACTGCCAACGGAGCAGATCATATTCATTTCCTTTGTCTCTCTTGAGAGATTAGACATTTTTGTAACTTCAATTAGAAGAGAAAAATTTGCTCACGACTTACGTCTACTCTCGGAATCTTTTGAGGGCAAACCTCTAATTTTCAGGGGTTTTCCTAATCTTTTCGTCAGTTCATGATAGGGAGGTTTTCAGACCTCCTCGTTTAGGCAACCATCTGCACACTAATATCATTCCTTGAAGTGTAGTCATTTGCTTACCATTCAGCACTGTTCGACAACTAGCAGATAATTACATAAGCCCTTGCTTTCATGCATCCTTAAATCTATGACGGATACAGACAATCCTGCCTATCCTCACACTTCCGTGTACGGTTGAATAATTGATGTTTAAAGATTCAGCAACTCTTGTCCCCGTGTGAGTTAGACAGCGGTTTTATTATTACGTTTTCAGAATTTCCGTGATATTTCTGGCCAGGAAATTTCAAAAAAGCCAAAGTCATCATCAAAGAGTCTAGCTGTATTTCAGAGACTTCAGGAACTTCAGGAGTGCATGCAACTTTTTCCAACACATGAAACCTTCATCGAAGTCAAAAGAGCAATAATGGCACAAATTTCAC